CCACTCTCATTCCTTTTCCCAACCCAATAATCTCACAAGGTCCCATCCTATGCAAAAGAGATTAAATTCTCTTGCTAAAAAGGGACCACTGAGTGAACGGGCTGTATATAAAGTAAAAGTGACCCTTTTGCTCATTGACTTATTTCGGTCCTTCCAGATTCGCTCGGCTCGAATAAACGCACCAGTCAACGTTATTCGAGAAAAGTATCGTTACGCCCTTTCTTCGACTCTTCCTAATTATTGAGTCTGGACGGAACACAAGGAAATAATGTATTTCCTACACATATACAATATTTTATTTATGGAGTAGAATTGTAGTATATAGTATTCGAATTATGACATAAAATAAAATAACTTTGATCAATACTACATCTCATAAAATATGTGAATCACGAAAATAAGAATGGATACATGTCATTTGATTACAAGCACTAGGAAAAGTAATCGTTATAAAGTCATCAACTATGTAGATCTCATCTTAATTACTTTGTTTCAAATTTTGAATATCTTTGGCACAATACATTAATTAAACAAAACTATAGTTATATTTGTACGTGAGAAATAATAAAATAAAAATAAAAATACACAAATGTGTACAGGCCACAATTCTCACATACATATGTACATTTTATCTTAAAACCTGCACCAACATTTGTCCAAAGAAGCATATATGAGTTTTGTCTAGTGATATAAATAAACTTCAAAAATTTAATCATTTTTATAATAAATGTTATTAATAAATGGGGGGAAGGGTCTGAATAGCTCAGATGGAAGAACAATCGCCTGGCAAGCGAAAGGTCTCGGGTTCGATTCCCGATTCAGCGACTTTCGGATCTATATTTTTCTCTTGCATTGATTTAATTATTTCTGCAGAGAGGTTAGGGGTTTTTGAAATTAAATCTAAGTAAGAGATTATTTCAATTTTTAAAGTTTTGGTTGGTACACCGAGAATAATACGTGCCTTGCGGACGCTTTGTTTCCAACAAACATTTAGTTTCGTTGTAAATGTACGTAGAAAACATCCGCGTATGGCTCTTTACGCCTTCCTTATGATTTAGATTTCTTTATAAGTATATATATATATATATATATATATATATATTAAATATATATAACTTTATCTATACTTATAAAGAAATTTATCAAAGTAGATAATTGCTCATAATTTGGAATAATAAAAGTCGAGATCAATTGTGATTATAACTTAAGAATATATTTATTATATATATAAATATATATATATATAAAAATATATAAATATATATATATATATATTAGGTCCTTGAATAAGTTCTCGCTGTTTTTTTGTTAAAAAAAACATTTATTTAAAATATAAGGCTTACAATAACTTTACTCAAAGTATTGTCCATCATTAGAGACCACACAGCAATGCCTCCAATTCTTCGTCTTCAAACTTTGTCGGTGCTCCAGAACGTTCTTTATCTTCAAGGTCAAAGTCATTATTTTTAAAGCGCCTAAACCAGTCTCTGCATGTCGTATTCGACAGAGCATTGTCACCATATGTTTCAACAAGAATTCTGTGTGCTTCAGCTGCAGATTTCTTTTGAATAAAGCAGTGCAATAAAATTCCCCGCAAAAACACTTTATTTGGCACAAAAGTAGACATTTTCGCAATAGGTAATTAAACACGTGGTTGACACTGTGGTAAACTGTATCTACTAGAATTTGAGGTTACATATAGTACTACTTAGCTGATGCGTTTCCGTACGAAATTCCATGCACAGAGTGCCGCTACGCCATCTTTTAAGAAACAGCGAGAACTTATTCAAGGACCTAATATATAAAATATATAAATATATATATATATATGTCAAGAGACACGATAGTGTCTCGCGATAAGTCACCAAATCGTAGCGAGGTACTTCCGTGTATCTTTACGCGAGTCGGACTTTTGACAGCATCTTATATTATCAGATCTCATAGAAGGATTGAACTGATCGTATTCTCGATAGACTTAATCGATAGCTTGAGTTTAAATTGTATTAGAAAACTGTCTTTACTTTTGCTCTACGTATTATATATACAGAGATATTACGAAGTAAAGTTTGACTTTATAATAAAATTGAAAATTTTGGTATTCGTCGTCGACCTTCTCAATGCGCATGTGTGCGAAAATGTACTGTTCGAGCCGTCAACGCTAGATTGTATTAATGTCGCTCCATGATCCATGATGTTAGGTTGTGTGTCAGATTTGATGACATGTAACATGTATGTAGGTTACATAATTCCCTACAATGTCATGTTACATATTAGTTGTAATTAAACGACCAAGAGAAAAAATAAATTTGGCTGATAAATTCAGAAAAAAATACTTTTATAGAAGGAGGGGAGAGAGAGGGAGAGAGAGAAAGAGAGAGAGAAAGAGAGAAAGAGAGAAAAAGGTCTAATGTGTATATTATTGATATACTAATGTATATATTGATATATAATTACATTTATTATAATATAATTTCTTTTATAATATAATTATATATTTATTATAATATAATTACATTTATTTATATAGCTGCCAACCTAACTGCTATGTAACTCACTCCCCCACCCCTCTCTCTCTCCCCTCCCCCCTCTCTCTCCTTCCCTCCCTCCCTCACTCTCTCCCTCCTCTCTCCCCCCTTTCTTTCTCCCCCTCTTTCCCCCCTCTCTCTCATATTTTAAATGAACTGAACAAATAAAATATACTTAATCCATATTTCATATTACATTACATTAATACCGAGACAGCACAGAATATTTATAAAATATTTATAGAATATTTATAATAATTATATATATATATATATATATATATATATATATATACAGTGTTCCATTTTAACTTTTGAATTAAAATTTGTTGAAAACCAAGGCTTCCATCAAAAAATATTTTATATAAAAGTTGTATTAATTTCGAGGGGACGCTTCGTTGTAAGCATAGTTTTATTCCAGGTAAAGATATTTTTGAGATTTCGGAGTCATATCACTATTTTTTTATATTTTATAAAAATAAAGTTTTGTGATTTAAAAAAATTCGCAATTTGTAATGTGCAATTGCATATTTTTTAAAAAAATAATTAAGTTTTTTTTTACATTAATTGATTTATTTTATTATTCTAACAAAAAATTATTAAGCAGGTAAATGAGCGTTTTATGATATTTCATATTTTTGTCAAATAATCAAGATAAAGCATAAAATATCTCGTAAACCATTCATTTTTTTGAGTATTTAATTTCTAACAATCTTTTATGCCAAATATGAGGAATCGATTTATGTAAAAAAAATTATACTTTCATATAAAAAAGTAATGATTTCGAAATCTTGAAAATGATTCTTCCTAATAAATAGAAATCATATTTTGCATAACTTTGCGATAAAATAATAAATTGGTATAAATATAAATAATTCATAATTGATAAAAAAAACATATATATTAGTATAATTAGTATTTTAATTACATTTAAAAACGAATAATTAAATTCTAGAAAAGCTAAAAGAGAAAATAACATACAAGATAAGAAAATTTTTTTATAAATATATTTCGATCTTTTATTTAACTTTTTATTACTGTATGTTATCTAATAGTATACATTGTTTATAACTTTTGTTATTCTTTCATGACAAAATGTATATAAAAATGTATATATATATATATATATATATATATATATACATTTTTACATATTTATACATATATATATATATATATATATATATATATATATATGTACACAGGGTGTCCGGTAATAGTCACGTCAACCGTCGTGTGCAGGTAGAGCACGTTAAACTGAATAAAAAAATCTTATACCATTTTACTAAATTATCGCAATAATTATTGAATTATTAATTAAAATATCTAAGCGAATGAGCGGGTGGAAAGTGATAGGCCAGACTCGATGGGCATGTCGGATGGCTGTTGCTTTGTATCAAAAGTATTATCTTACTTTTCGGCGCTGCTACATTGCTCGCCGCTCGCTGCATGACGCCGCCTCTTGATCAGATAATGCTTTTGTTATTAAGACTTAAACAATAGTCATTTGACCCACCGAGTTTGGCCTACCGCTTTTCACCCACTCATTCGCTTAGATATTTTAATTAATAATTCAATAATTATTGCAAATTTAGCAAAATGGTATAAGACTTTTCTATTCAGTTTAACGTGCTTTACCTGCCTACGACGGTTGACATGACTATTACCGAACACCCTGTATATAATTGATATACAATACACACGCATAAGAATATATTTTCAAAGTATAACAATTTTTAAAAAATATGAAGTTAATTGATTAAGTATTTTGTTGAATTAATTGATTAAATATTAAGTTGACTTAAGGTTCTTGAATCCTCGCCGCGACCATGTAAAATTGTGACGCCAGAGACGAGAAAGCACACGCTGAAAACTCTTAGAAACCATTTTTAAATGACTTGGGCTTATATTAATCATTTTATAGCTGTTGATTGATTATAAAGGGAAAAGAACAGGTTTCGAGGTATTTTAAGAGTGTGCTAAAGTCATATGGTGGAAGAATAAAGGTGAGTTAAGGCGTAGCGCAATCCTACCGGCCAATAAAAAGCTGCCACCAGGTCAACGATTACTGCCGGGAAACCAGCAGATATTCAAAATAATATGGTTGAATAATGAGTTGTACACAACACGTATATACGACCAAGTATGTGTTTGTAAAACAAGATGGCGGATTTGGTGAGTTGCGCAAACCGAACGAAAATTAATCGCCTGACTTGAGTCACCTTTATTCTTCCATCATGGCTAAAGCCGTCTGAAGTGCTGTTTAATCGAAATATCTTTTATTTATTTTGAAAGAGCATCTAAAAATTTTTAGTGTATTTTTCCACCTCTCGCGTCACAATTCCAACGTAATCTGTGAAGAGCCAGAAACCTTAAGATGAATTAAATTGCCAAACAACAAGATAAACAAACCTAGATAGCAAACGTGCGTCATTTTGACGTTATTAGACATCAAAATGACGTCATTGTTTTATAGATTATATAATAGGATCTGTATAATTTGATTTAGACTTGTGAAATATTCCAAGTAGCAACCGTACGTCATTTTGACATCGAATGACGTCATTTTGATATCGAGTGACGTCATTTGACGTTGAGTGATGTCATAGATATCGAATGACGTTATTTGTTACTTGGGGTATTACAAATCAACCGATTAAATATATTACAGGAATGTAGCAAGCGTAGATCATGTTGACATTGCATGACGTCATTAGACATCGAAGGACGTCAATAGACGTCGAATGACTTTAGTTTGCTACTTGGAAAAGTTGATGATTAGGAAAAATTGGTAATTAGGAAGGCAAGCACATTAGTAGCGGTGGATTACACGAAAGAGAAGAGTCTTTAAATTTATAAGGGGGTGGACAGCATACGCCGCAAGATTTTAACATGGAACATTCCGGTGGTATGCATACTTGATATGGTGACAATGAGGTATCACCGCAAAAGGGTTCGCCCCACAAATTGTCATTTTCATTCAATGCATCACTTCTCGGGCAGAGCATGGAAGGTATGGAAGGAACTTTAACATTGGTGCACGACAAAATTCGCTTCTGACGATCCTTATTGCAAGTTAATCTACAGTAAGTAGCCAGAGCCGCCTCTCTGGCTTGATCTGTGCAATAGAATTTTCGAAGAGCCACCTCCGCGTCACCCAAATCTGTTAGCTTCAATAAAGCGCAGCGACCTGGTTCACAGACTGGATACAGCTTTGTCATACATTCCGGTCTACCCATGCAGTCCCACATCATGCATCTGTCTTGCAGACCATTTCTTTTTATACACTCGCATCTGTACATTATGCTTGAGCGAAAATCAAAACTCTTACATGGTTTGACACATTCCTGTAATATATTTATGAATCAATTAATTGATTTGTAATACCTTAAGTAGCAAATGTCACTCGACGCCTAATGACGTCATTCGATGTCAAAACGATGTACGCTTGCTACATCCCTGTAATATATTTAATCAGTTGATTTGTAATACTCCAAGTAGCAAACTAACGTCATTCGACGTCTAATGACGTCATTCGATGTCAAAATGATGTACATTTGCTACATCCCTGTAATATATTTAATCGATTGATTTGTAATATCCCAAGTAACAAACTAATGTCATTTGACGTCTAATGACATCATTCGATATCTATGACATCACTCGACGTCAAAATGACGTACGGTTGCTACCTCAGATATTTCACAAGTCTAAATCAAATTATACAGATTTTAATTAATGTAAACGAATATTACTGAAACAAAAAAATATTTTATACAAAAATCAATAGATTTCGAAGGGCAAAAAATTGATCATTTTTAATTTTTTACTAAAGGTCATTTTTCAAGATCATTTGAAGGTACCCCTAATTTCTTATATAATCGGTTCTTCATAATATATTTGGCATAAAAAGTTATAAGGCTAGAATGGCCACAAAATGAATAGTTTATAGAAATATTTTATACTTTAACATAATTTTATATAAATTATAAAATATTTAAAATCATTATTTTTCGATGATTTTATCTCAATACTTATTTTTGTATTAAATAATGAGAAATCAATTAAAATAAGTAAAGAAAATGCACACACATATAGTTCTTTAAAATAAATATGTATATACTTGTTGAAAATTACATATATATACTTCTTAATAACCTTCAAATGAGCTTGAAAAAATGACTTTAAAATTAAAATTAAAATTTTTTTTTCTTAAAACCTGTTAACTTTTATATAAAATAATGAGAATACTTATTAAGTCAGCTCTTTTAATTTTTAAAACCACAATCTCCACTTGATTCCTCTCGACCAATAGAGCCAAACGCGATGTTATTGCGACAATTATGAAAGAAAGAACATTTGAAAAAATAAGGAATTTGAATCCTATGGTTGGGATCTCAAAAATTCCCCTTGTTCCTTCTCTTAACATCCCCTGTAAAGAAATTTTTTCCAAATGTTCTTTCTTTCATAATTGTCGCAATAACATCGCGTTTGGCTCTATTGGTCGAGAGGAATCAAGTGGAGATTGTGGTTTTATATAAAATATTTTCTCGTTAAATCCACATTTTTAGAAATATTAGATATATATATATATATATATATATATATATATATATATATATATATATATATATATATTAAAAAATAGAAAATTATATATATACATATATAAATATTTTTTTCAAAGAATATAAAGTTTATTAAAATAATTATTTAAATTATTAATTAAAGCCATAATCTTCACTTGATTCCTCTCGACCAGTAGAGCCAAACGCGATGTTATTGCGACAATTATGAAAGAAAGAACATTTGAAAAGGAATTTGAATCCTGTGGTTGGGATCTCAAAAATTCCCCCTGTTCCTCGTGTTCATCGCGTTTGGCTCTACTGGTCGAGAGGAATCAAGTGGAGATTATGGCTTTAAAAATTAAAAGAGCTAACTAAATAAGTATTTTCATTAAATTATTAATGTTGATAATAAAAAGCTTTAAAGGATTAAAACTGATCTTTTAATAGATAAAAAATATTGGAGACTCACATAAGAGGGCAGAATGCAAGGTGGCAATTTTGTAGGGCGATATATCATAGGTGGACAAAGCTGCTCGTCCCATTCACATGGTTTCCTATCCATAAACAATTCTGATAAATATATTCATTCCATACGTACTCAAAATCCAAGGTAAATAAAATTTTACTTCCTATCCATAGAACTGATTAAACATTTCAGTTGTATTAATAATTTGCGTCTTCTGTCGCAATTTGGATTTTTTCCATCACAAGGCATTTTTGTTTTTAAATTGACACTTAATATTAGAAAATTTTCTTCTAAAATTAAACTTGTGTTTTTCCTTTTTTAGTTGTATTTTTAATATTTTTTTCGTGTTAAATATGTATATATATAAAATACTTAAAATTTAGCAATTATGTATCAATTTAAAAATAATTATTTTAGATAGGGATACTGAGAATTTTTTGTAACACCATAATTACCTTATGTCAATTTATCAAAATAACGAGTTTCCTAGCAACTGCCTTGATTTGTCTATGAAAATTCTTGATATGTTATATCGTATATAGGATGTCCCATTTTAAATTTTAAAGTGAAATTATGTTTTGCAAAAGCTTTATCCTGACACATTTTGACAACAAATATGAAATATCTTGTGATATACTTATTTTTCGATAATCTTAATAATTTTCTGTGTAGAATAATAAAATATTTATGTTTCATTATTATAATTATATATACGTTTATATATAAACTTTTCTAAAGTTAATTTATTATATTAAATAAACTATTTTGAACTTTTATATAACTACACACACACACAGTTGTTTTTATTTAAAATAAAAAATTCAATAATCAAAAAACATTTTCACATTTTTATGTCTAACATTTGGGAAATTTATTTTATGTAATAAAAATATGAATATAAAAACTAAAACATATATTATTTTTTTGGGAAATCATTAGTACCAAAATATATGATATATTAATAATGATGTATTATATATTATATATATTTTTACACATACAGATATATTATATACATTACATAGTATAATAAATAAATTTATATGTATCGTTCCTAATTTTTAATAAAATACCTTCTTCGTTAAGTTTTGAAATTAAAACGGCAAAATCATTTATTAAAATCCCCTTGGATACAGCAAATTCTTTTAATTCTTTTGTTGAAAACGTTTGGTTTTTATCCATATTTACTTTTTCTTCAAGCATCTTTATAAACATTTTAATCTGTATAAAAAATAATTGTAAACAGTGTAGTAAACTATTATACAATTTTATGTGTATGAATAATTTTATATAAATGTAAGTAAATCACATACAGACAACTTACTTTTTTATTTGTCAATTTATCATTAGAATTTAAGTTTGATGTTGCATAATCTTCTACTAATGCGTTTGTTATTGCATATTGTAATATATCTATTACGTCCAATGCATCTGATTCAGTTGCTTCAGTACGTAATTCTAGTTTTGCTCTAGCCTATATATAATATATAATAAAATATATAATTTATATATATATATACACATAATATATATATATATATATTTTATATACAGAGTAAACCATTTTAATCAACGCACGTAAATATCTCGCATAGTAAGCAAAATGGAAAAAATATTTTGAATAAAGTTTTTTGACTATGAGGGGGGACATAAAATGGTGTCATTGATTTGACATTGTATAATTATTTAAAGGTCACGTAAAGGTCACCTTCAATTTCTTAAACCTGCTATTTTTCATTACATTCTTATAGCTTATCTCAATAGCTTTCAAAAATCCTATAATAAAGTGTTTTTTCATGAAGTTCTTTTCAAGTTATAAAGGTTTAAAGTTTACAATTTTTTGGCATAAAATGTAAAATATCTTGTAAAACACTCAGTTTTCGGTAATCATACCTTAATACATTTTTGCACGGAATAATGAGATCAATCAATTGGTGTAAATAAAACACAGTTGCTTTCAAAAAAATATGTTGCAAATTACGTACATCATTTTTAAGGCAACTATGTGTTTTCTTTACACCAATTGATTGGCCTTATTATTCCGTGCACAAAAGTATTAAGGTATGATTATCAAAAACTGAATATTTTATAAGATATTTTACATTTTATGCCAAAAATTGTAAACTTTAAATCTTTATAACTTGAAAAGTACTTCATGAAAAAACGCTTTATAAGAATATGTAATGAAAAATAGCAGGTTCCATTTAAGAACAAATTGAAGGTGACCTTCACGTGACCTTTAAATGATTATACAAGGTCAAATCAATAACACCATTTTATGTCCCCCCTAGTCAAAAAACTTTTGTTCAAAACATTTTTCTCCATCTTGCTTACTATACGAGATATTTACGTGCGTTGATTAAAATGGCTCACCCTGTATATATAATTTTAATAATATTTAATTATATACAAAATAATAACACTGGTTGAAAAAATGAGGAGAATTTGTATATTTCCTTCATTATGTTTAACTGTCTTGACTGTATATCTAGGATTAAATTCTGACTTTTGTGGTCTTCGAACAAACTGACGAATATCAGGAAATCCTTTAATAATCACTTTTCGGTGGTGAAGCAAATATACAAATTCCCCTAATTGTTTCAACCGTGTTATTATTTTGCACATAACCTTATATAGGGTGTCTCATAATTCGCCAACCACCTTTCGTGGGCAGGTAGAGCACGTTAAACTAAATAGAAAAGTCTTATAGCATTTTGCTAAATTCGCAATAATTATTGAGTTAATTACTAAAATATATAAGCAAATAAGCGGGTGGAAAGCATTATCTGATCGAGAGACGATGTCATGCAGCGAGCGGCGAGCAATGTAGCGGCGCCGAAAAATAAGATGATACTTTTGATACTAAGCGACATATAACAAATAAGCCATCCGACATGTCCATCGAGTCCAGCCTACCGCTTTCCACCCGCTTATTCGCTTAGATATTTTTTAGTTAATAATTCAATAATTATTGCGAATTTAGCAAAATGGTATAAGACTTGGCTATTCAGTTTAACGTGTTCTACCTGCTCACGAAAGGTGGTTCGTGAATTATGGGATACCCTGTATATAATATATATATATATATATATATATATATATATATATATATATATAAATAAATAATATATAAAAGATGTTAAACCTCAGTTAATCGAATCATAGCTTCTAATTGTCTGTTAAATATTGGTAAGCTTCCAGATTGTTTATTTTTTGATCGAAGTTTTAAATAATAGTTCTGTAATATTGTTGCAGCTTCAGCTGACAGTTTTGGTTTCACATATTGCCGTGCATAGGAAATATAAGTTCGAAGAATAGCTTGTGGTATAACTTCAGTAGATAATGGCACCATTAACTTTTTCCTGAAATTTTTATTATAGTCAGATTTACATGTTTTTCGTAAATAAAGTAGTATTAAATCGAATATACAAGGTGAGTCATTTTAATCAACGCACGTAAATATCTCGTATAGTAAGCAAGATGAAAAAATATGTCTCAAACAAAAGTTTTTTGACTATGAGAGGGACATAAGATGGTATCATTGATTTGAACTGAACATTTTACAAGATATTTTACATTTTATGCAAAAAATTGTAAACTTTAAACTTTTATAATTTGAAAAGTACTTTATCAAACAACATTTATTATAGGATTTTGGAAAGCTCTTTAGATAAGCTATAAGAATATGTAATGAAAAATAGCAGGTTTAAGAAATTGAAGGTGACCTTCACGTGACCTTTAAATGATTATACAAGGTCAAATCAATAACACCATTTTATGTTCCCCTCATAGTCAAAAAACTTTTGTCCAAAACATTTTTTCCATCTTGCTTACTATACGAGATATTTACATGTGTTGATTAAAATGGCTCACCCTGTAGTATAAAATATTATTGTTTTGATGTTCTTTCTTTAATTCAGCACATATTCCAAGTAATACATTGACGTCATTTTGATGTCTAATGACGTTATTCGACATAAAAATGACGTCATTCGATGTCAAAATGATGTATTATCTGGAATATTGTATGAGAAAAAAATAAGTATAATACTCAATCACTGTCATTTTTAACAAACAACAAAAGGGATCCTATATTATACTTACTTAAGGGAACAATCGTTAGTAGATGACTCTATAGATTCTTGATTGAAATTTGTATGTGAATTCGTATGAACCATCATAATATGTTTGCATAACAGACTATCAAAGTGCTGTCATAAAATAAAGAGAATGTCAATGTTCAATATTTGTTCAAATTGGGGATATTTATTTGTTTATCCTACCTTGTCTGGTTCATCTAATAATAAAAAAATTAAATCAAATCGCGAGAGAATAGGCTGATTAATATTTAAGTTTTCGGTCATTGTTTTGCTTTTATCATATTGTCCCCTGATAGGATTGGCTGCTGCTAGAATTGATGTTCGTGCAGGAAAGGAAGCTATTATACCTGATTTTGCCACAGTAACACTTTGTTGCTCCATTGATTCTAATAATGCCTGGAACAATATATATATAAAATATATATAATATTATATAAATTTATATATATATATATATATATATATATATCCTTGGTTTGAATATTATATATATATATATATATATATATATAAATTATATAATAAATTTAGAAGTTGATTTAAGATCCCGTTCAACCAATCAAATGGCTACGTGGCGTCTTAAGCTCGGACTTAAGATGATCTTAAATATAAGATCGGATTATGAATACCGGCCTAAATTGATGCGCTTCGTGAAACGAAAGTTTCGAAAATATGCCGCCGTAAAATCATGGTGCACTACTATCGAGGAAGCAAGCTGTGTGACGGCCGGTATTCATAGTCCGATCTTATATTTAAAATCGTCTTAAATCCGAGCTTAAAATGGCACGTAGCCATTTGATTGGTTAAACGCGATCTTAAGTCAACCTCCGACCAGACTTAAGACGACCTTAAATATAAGATCGGACTATGAATACCGTCCAATGACTATGACTACGTTTACACGGCTTCTAATATCGATTTAGTATGATATTATAACTCCTATTTAAGGTCAGTTGCGTTTACACATCAGGCTTATCTTATTCCCATCAAGCTGAAATAGCGTATCTTTTCTGTATTATGATATGCAATACAGTATAACCAACTCTGCAAACAATGGACAGTTAAGATGTTTCATTTTTATAATTGACATTATTGCCATTGTTACACTGCGACCGTTTACACGTCCTTTTTACGATGTAGTAACCCTGAGCCTCTTCACCAAATGACTTTGAGTTACTACATCAATGAGTACGTTATTAAACCCGATTAAAGGTGCCGTGTAATTGGGGTCAATGTAATAACTTTGTCATAAAAGAGCATTTATACGGCATCTAACGTCAGTAGTTATCACATCGATGTTATAAGTCCGGCTTAAATCGGGTCGTATAAACGTAGTCTATGTTTCCACCAAGAGTTCGAATTGAGTCAGAGTTCTGGTCAGAGTCGGGTTATAGTGAGCACTCTTACGGTGGAAACACCAATTATCCTACCCTATAATGTTATAAGATAGGGTTATTGGTATTTCCACCGTAAGAGTGCTCACTACAACCCGACTCTGACCCGATTCGAACTCTCGGTGGGAACATAGTCAGAGAGCGAACTATACAGCCTACACAGCTGTCACGCTCACTCAAGCGGGGAGCACACACTTTTGCATAGACGCATAAGCGTAAACATGAGAATCTTGAAGCGGGGAGCATACACTTTTGCATAGGCGTATAAGCGTAAACATAAGAATCTTGATTAGTCCATGAACGTATGCATAAGAAATTCAACCAATCGAATTTCTTATGCATATGCTTATGCACTTATGCAAGAGTATGTGCTCCCCGCTTCACTGTCGACTCATCACTAGCTACATGCGGCGAAACGAATCAATATCTGTTTCATTAAGAGCATCACGTTTGTTGAGGGAGATCTTCATTAGCAATTTGTCGTGCAATCATCGTTGATGCGCGTCGGGTATCGCTAATGCTGGTAGTAAATGGAAAAAATGTATGGGTAATTTTGATATGCCGTAACTTCGTGAAAAAAAATCATATAAACTTTACTTTTTTTTTTATTTGTAGGATAAAGTCCATATTTTACGAAAATTTGGATAAGATTTGCGAAAAAAATTTATTTTACCCCGTAGTTTGTCAAATTTGGCAATTTCTTGGAAAAAAAAAAAAAAAAAAAAACTTTTTAAAAGGGTGACGAGAGGGGAAAAGCACAGTAGAACCAGTATGTGCACTTCACTTCTTTTTCTGGTTTGCGTCGATTCATAATGTTTTTGGGTGGAACCAATCAGATGCAAGATCAGTGTGATGCTTAGGGACGGTAATACAACAATATGTTACAAGCGCCCATAGCCATCCTACAGTTATTCAAAATAGTTCATCGAAACATCGATATAACAGCAATTACATTAATTATTTAATATTGCATATTTGAATAAACTTTTTTTGTATATTTTACTTTCCACTAAGAGTGAATATAACTTAAACTAAATACAATAAAAACTGGGGCACTTTAATCGTTGATGCACTACTAAGTCACTCAAAAACATGGCGGATAATTGGGAACGAAAAGATCAAAGGTGCTGACAGAGAGTGCACATATTGATTCTACTATGGAGAGAGGATGAAATCAAAATCGAACAAAAGTTTCTTAAAGTAGAGACTTCACCCTTTAAAACAAAAAATTGTTCAAATACGATAATTTTTTGCGGAGATACGCTTATTTTAATTTATACGAAATTTTGATATTACAATAATTGCGTGTTGCGATAATTTTTTGATCAGTGCATATAAAAATTAATATTAAGTACTTAAATAAATTTTTTTTTATAAATTATATTATTTTACCTGATGCTGAGAACACATTTTATCAAACTCATCGATGCAACAGCAACCTTGATCCGCCAAAACCAGAGCACCAGGTTCTAAAGCAAAATCATTAGATCCAGCTTCTTTTGTAAGAGTCACCGTTAATCCAGAGGATGTACTTGCATTTCCACAAATATATACACCTTCAAAAGTTTATATTTCATAAAACATTTATATCTTACAAATTTTTATTCTAGAATTTTGTAACTAACAATGAAGATGACCTGAATTGGGTTGAAACGATTTACGAATAAACAATATTTTCCTATCAATTATTGACTGTATGGAATAATCTTTTGACTTTGTCATCGAGGACTCCCATTAATTAATTAATAATAATAATATAATTATATAATAATATAATTTATTATTATTTTAATATATATAAATATATATATAAATTATATAATATATATAATTTATTATTATTTTAATAATATAATATATATTTTATATTATATATATATATATATATATATATATATATATATGTATATATATATATAGAGGTGAATGTGGATAAGACAAAGGTAATGAGGTTTAAAAAGGGAGGAGGAAGAATGAAGAGAGTGGAGTGGAGATGGAAAGGAAAAAGGTTAGAGGAAGTGAAAGAATTCACATATTTAGGGTATAAGCTACAGAGGAACGGGGGGCAGGAGGCGCAGGTAAAGAACAGAGTTAGGAAAGCAGGAGCGGTGATAAGACAGGTGTGGGGAATGGGAAAGAGAAGGTTTGCAGGAGACTGGATGAAAAGAGTATGGCTAATGGAAAGGTTGGTGGGGACGGTGTTGGAATATGGGGCGGAAATATGGGGATGGAAGGAGAGAAGAGAGGTGGAGGCAATGCAGGAGCGATGGATTAGGTGGACGTTAGGAGTAGACTGGTGCACGCCGGGGTATATGGTAAGAGAGGAGATAGGAAAAGACAAATTTAGGATAAGGGCAGGAAGGAGGGCGGTAGGGTATGAGAGGAAGTTGGAGGAAGGAAGGGGAGGAAGTTTAGCGAGGAAATGTTTTGAGGATATGAAAGAGAGGATAAGAGGAGGAAAGGAAAGAACGATGTGGGAGGAAGAGAGGGAGAAATTCTGGGAAGAAAGAGGAATAGAGGGGAAAGAGATGGAGGAAAAAAGGGGAAGGGGAGAGGAAGTATATGAGGGGTTGGAACAGAAAGACAGGGAAAGGCAAAAGGAGGAAAGATGGGAGAGGATAAGAGAGTCGAGATATAATAGATGTTATGGGGAATGGAAGGAGGAGGGTTTACCGGAATACCTGAGAAAGGGATGGGGGGAAAGTAGATGGAGAAGGATAGTAAGGTTCAGAATGAACAATGAGATGAGAGGGGCGAGATACTGGGAAGAAGAGGGGAAAAGAAGATGTAGGTTATGCGGGATAGAAGATGAAACATGGGAGCATGTGATAGGAGAATGTGGGGGAGAAGGGGAGAAGGGAAACTGGTGGGAAAGAATGAAGGGAATATTGCAGGAAGGAGGAGAAGGGGAAGGATGGATGAGAGAAATAGAGAAAAGGAGGGAAGAGGGGAGAACGGAAGAAAGGGGGGGGGAGGGGAAAAGGAGGAAGGAAGTATGAGGAGGAGAATGAGTGAGGTATGAATGAGGTGGTGGAGAATGTATGGGGAATCGGAAGCCGAAGCGAAGCGATAGGTAGGGACGGCTCTTTCTCTCTCTAAAGTAGTAGATAAGTAGGTTAAGGTAGAATTAAGTTATTTGTAAATTAGATGTAAGAGTAGAGATAAGAGTAGATATAAGATATAAGTAAGATTGTAAGAGTTTTGTAAGGTTGAGGAACGCTCCTTCAAAAGCGCCTTCAATCCCTTAGGGGACGAATAAAGAATTGAAATTGAATATATATATATATATATATATATATATATATATATATATTTTAATATATATTTAATTATATACTTTATATATATAACATGTATTTTAATATATATAATATATATAATAATATAATTATCTAATAATATATATAATAATGAGTATCTACGTTCTTATTAAATAATATAATTATTACATAATTATATTATTATTAATATTAGGAATATATAATTCAACTCTCCAAATAAATACACAATATATATAATGAGAAATAAAATTCGGCTCGTGTAAAATTAAAATAAGTTATAAATTAAATACCAACTTAACGAGCTGATTAATTAGGTGTTAACAATTTATTCTAAGTCATAAAAATAATACAAATGATAATTAGTAAACGTTTCGACTGTACGACAGTCTTTATCAATACAAATATCGCTTTGCTAACATATCCATAAATCAAATAATTTGGAAAGACCGAACTTATATCATACATGTAAAATATATAGACTTATAATATGAAAAACGCAGTATAACACATTATAATTGTTGGCTTGAATAACGGCTGATCGTTCGAATTAGTCGTTAAAGAGCCTAACCCCGAACATCAGATTTCTGTAGTTCTTTTTAAATAAATGTCTAATTTTGTAATCCATAATGTAATAATGATATGTAATAAACTGAAATAATTAATGTGTTAGCCTGAATATTGGATATTTGATTTTTAAATAGATAGTGATCACTTACATCTATGTCGAGACGATAAAAATTCTTTAAAATATTTCTTGTTGAAAAACATTATAAACAATGTATACTTTGTAAGAAGCAAACTCAATATATGTAAATTACAATGTCAGGACGCTGTATATATACCGTCATGCTAAGATGACATAGACAATTTTCCTTTTTTAAGTTGATACTGTTTTTTCTTCTTTAATGCATATCATTTCCAATATCAACCTTTTATAATAATTCCTTTCGTGATCCAAGATTTTTGTATTATTCCAATTAAAAGTATGTGTAAACTTTAAAATATGATCAGAAACCACCGAGTGTCTTGCAGGATCCAATCTGATATTATTTTTATGTTCATTTACTCTTGTGCCTAATTGTCTTTTAGTTTGCCCTACATATGTTGCATCACAATTATTGCGCGATATTTTACATATGACACCCGAATTATTCTGACGATTATCTCTGTCTTTTTGTGTTTTTATGACTCTATTTAATTTTTCAAACTTCTGTATCCTACTATTATGTTAGATTTCTTTAACTCTGATGCTACTAACTCCGAGATTTTTTCAATGTATGATATCGCTATAAATTTTTATTGTTGTCATTATTTATGTCATTATTATTCGTATTATGAGCCATTTCGGTGTTTAATCTATTAACTATGAGGAACTTCAGTCTTCTATTAATTTCTGAGAAAATGAGATCGAGAGGATAACCATTACTTAATAAAATCTCTATGATTAATGTAAATTTTTACTATGAAAAATAGGATGTGATAATAGTATTGATTGGTCTACTAGATTATATATGACACTTTTTTATGACACATAAAATGATTTGAATAATATGAAAGTGTTCTACCCGAAAATGTTTTTTTCTGAAACCAATCAATGTGAATTATGTTATTTATAATTTTGAGTGAAATGTCCAAAAAACTTATGCAACGGTTGTCCTCTCGTTCTATTGTAAATTTTAGTTTATCGTGATAATCATTAAATTTTTCAACTAAATATGAGACCTGATCCTCCGGCATGCAAACTAAAAGCTCTTTAACGACTAATTTGAACGATCAGCCGTAATTCAAGCCAACAATTATAATGTGTTATACTGCGTTTTTCATATTATAAATCTATATATTTTACATGTATGATATAAGTTCGGTCTTTCCAAATTATTTGATTTATGGATATGTTAGCAAAGCGATACTTGTATTGATAAAGACTGTCGTATAGTCGAAACGTTTACTAATTATCATTTGTATTATTTTCATGACTTAGAATAAATTGTTAACACCTAATTAATCAGCTCGTTAAGTTGGCCTTTTAATTTATAACTTATTTTAAATACACAATATATATTTATATGTATATCGGCTGTAGAGCTTACTGTGATGTCTTCTGCGTCAACGAAAATTAATTTTTCGTTGATTAGGAATAGTATCCTTAGTTTAGATCTCTAATTCTTGTGTTACCCCTTTAACACCTCCCTGTAAAGCTATAGGCGAGAAAAATATTGATCCAAAAGTCGGCTGACTCGGGAATCGAATCCGAGACCTTTCGCTTGCCGACCGACTGCTCTTCCAATTGAGCTATTCAGACACTTACGAAACGATACTTCTCTCAGCCTTTGTAACTGAATAACGCCGTATTTACAGCCAAGCTCAGTTGGAAGAGCGAGCAGTCGCCTGGCAAGCGAAAGGTCTTGGGTTCGATTCCCGAGTCAGCCGACTTTCGGACCGATATTTTTTTCGCTTATAGCTTTACAGGGGGTGTTAAAGGAAAACACAAGAATTAGAGATCCAAACCAAGGATACTATTCCTAATCAACGAAAAATTAATTTTCGTTGACGTAGAAAACATCGCGATAGGCTCTATAGCCGATATACATATAGATATATATTGTGTAATTATTATTATTTTATTATTATTATTATTACTATTAAAGATACGTATCTCATATACCTTTCGTAGATATTCGAGCACATGCTTGCAACATCTGCGATTTGCCAAGACCAGGATCTCCGATTAACAAAATATGTATATCATCTCGTAATTGGGCGCGTTTTACGTTTCCTCCAAATAAACTCAATATTAATCCAGCTTTGACTATTTCATGACCATATATACTGGGGCATAACGAATGTACCAATAATGCAAAAAGATTTGGTTCTTTATATAGATTCTACATATAACAAAAGAAACACAAAAAACACTAAAATTACACCATCAAAAAAATTTTGTAATAAATTTTATTTCAATTTTAAATTTGTTTAAAGCTTCTAGCTCCTCGCCGATCATGTTGGAATTGTGACATCAGAGATAGTTTTCGAGATTTTTAAAAATGTGCTAAAGCCATCCAAAGTGTTGTTTCACCGAAATATCTTTTTATTTCGAAATTACATCTAAGAATTTTTAGCCTATTTTCTCTCTTCTGACGTCACAATCCAACATGATCGCGGCGAGGACCCAGAAATCTTGATTCCATTTTATACTTGACAAGAAAGAAAAAATACCTGTATAGTTAAATAATCTTTTAAAGAAATTTCATTACTCATAGAACTCTTATTTTGACATTTACGTTTGTTATTGATAATTGTTATTGCTTTCATATATAATGAAAATGGAGTTCCAGCTTGTATTTTAGTTGCATCGTCGACTCCTTGTACCTAAAATTTTGCAGAATGTTTATTTTTCTTTAGCATTATATGTATAAACAAATATAGTTAAAAATTTGAGCAAATATATTTTTTTCATATACTAATGAGTCTTTAAATTCTATTAATAATAATGAGATAGAAGCATTATTTCAGAATTTGTTTCATAGAAAAAAATTTTATGGATGTAATATACTGGGTGGTTTAAAAGTTCGGCAACGGTCAATTATCTCCAAAAATAATGGTTCTTATGAAAAAATGTTAAATATAAAAGTTGTAGGACTCTTGAAAAAATAAGGTACTTAATGGTGATCTTGACTTTGACCCAAGGGTTAAATTTAGAGGTCATTTCAAAGTCAACTTAATTTTTTTAAATGAAATCCATTTTTTATTGCATATTCTTCTCTAGCTTATCTCGAGAGCTTTCCAAAACACTATTAAAACATTTTTTCATTAAATACTTTTTGTATCATAAAAGTTTAAAGTTTTTGACATAAAATGTAATTTTGTAAAATATTCAGTTTTTGGTAATTATACCTTAATATTTTTATGCACAGAATAATAAAACCAATCAATTAGTGTAAAGAAAACATAGTTGCTTTAAAAAAGATGTATGCAATTTGCAACATACTTTTTTAAAAGCATTTTATGTAAAAAAAATGGTTAACTTCAAATTTTATAACTCAAAAAGTACTTAATAGAAAAATGTTTTATTATAATGTTTTGGGAAGCTCTCGAGATAAGCTACAAGAATGTGCAATGAAAAATAGAGGGTTCCATTTAAAAAAATAAAATTAATCTTAAAATGATCTCTAAATTTGACCCTAACATTTTTTCATAGGATTACTATTTTCGAAGATAATTTACCGTTGCCGGACTTTTAAACCATCCTGTATATATTCTAAAATTATAACTCGTGAAAATTACCTTAACAATGCCTGTAAGTGTGATATCATCACCAGGCATACAAAGATTAACTAAATTATCTAAAAGTTCCACATCGAGTATTTTTGGCACTTTACCTTTAGTTTCCTGCAAAACATTAACACATTTTTATAATCAAATTTTATATACATACTTCAAAGTATATTAAGACATTGTCATATACAATGTTATTACCATGCATTTAAAATACAATTATCTGTATTATTGATTTTTAAAACTATTTAAAATTTATAATATATAATTGTTATAAAAATAAAACTGAAATATATTTGCTTGTACTTATAGTTAAAATCTCAAAAAATAATAAAAATAATTTAAAAAAATTAATTATATCATTTAATTTTATTGTAAATAGCAAAATACTACCTGCTCATCATTCAATGGTTCTTGTATCCTGATTATCTGGAATAAAATGCTTTTCACAAAAGGTGAATCCAAGATCGGATAAAACTTTGATACGCCACAAAAATCACATTTTTTTGGCAATGTGTAAATTTCCTGAGACTGTTTGACTAATTTTTCTAAATGACATGTGGAACAGGCGAATACCATCCATTGTATGAGATGTTTTATTCTGCTGACTCTTATTACACAGCCTCTAGTAGATATCAATCGCTCTAAAAAGATTTCCAAAATAACAAAAGATTTTTAAAATAACAATTTTTATGCTGTGAAAATAGAAGCTTAATAAATATATATAATTATTAGATATAGTTTCTAATAAAAGATATAAAAGCTTATATACATACCATAATAATTTAACTTAAGGTCTCGCAAACATATAATTGGTTCATAATTTAATATACTTAATTTGACTGTCGGTAAACTGCTAATAGAATTCAGAACATATTGTAAATTTTCTTCTGGCACTGTTTCTAAAATTTTCTAAAATTCACAAGAAATTGATAAGAAATTACAAGTAATCAAGAATTTTGTTTATAACAAAACTCGAAGCTTTGAAAACAAAAAAATTAATATATATATATATATGTATGTATGTATATATATTAATAAAAATATAGAATTAAATTTTATATATTTCTTGCAATATATAACTTATTTATTAATTATTTAAATTATTAAAAGTAAAATAAAAATATTAATATTTATTTAATAAAATAAAAAATTAAAATACCTGATGAATACCAAGTTTCATAGAATTTAACGTGTTTGTTGGATTTTCATGAATATCATGTTTAAAATTTGGCCACTGTTCCATAAATTCACTATCTTTGTATAGTTCACAAATGTCAATGTCAAAATTTATTCCAGCTTCCAAATTTGCCATAGTGAACAACGAAGACAATGCTTTATGTCTTTCTATAAATGCCTCTATAGCTTCAATTTGTTTCGTAATAGCAGTATTAGATTTATATTCTGTATAAAATAATTTATTAATATATAAGAGAACAAGGTATATATAGTTAAGGTAATAAATGTTTTCTTTACTATATTGATCACATACTTACCTTTGTCAGGAAAAAACAACCTCCATCCATAGTAAGGAATATCTAGATTCCTCCCAATATCGAGTTTCTCAGGACTATGGTCTGCTTTGTTTTGATCTAAATAATATTATATAACATAAATATATTTGCAAGATTAATTTATTCAAAAATTTGAAATATTTTATTTCTATCTCTAAATGTGTTTTTATATATTAATAATAAGTTTTTTTTCATATTAAATAATCAAATTAATTTTATTTGCTTTATTTATTTTGTATTAGTATATATGTTAAAATAATAACATACAAAGAATAAGCAGAATTTCAATACTTACATGATTCATTATTGTTTAGTTTAACAGTTTGCATCCCTTTCCATTTTTTTTTACGAAAATTTGTCTTCTCGGACATAATGTTCAATAATTAATATATATATATTACATATGTAATAACGAAAAAAAACAAAAACTTTCTTTCACTTATTCCTATTTATTAAAAGAACTCAAAATTATTAAAAATCGACAGAAGTGACATGAATCGAACGTGAAAGAAAACTAGGGATACAAAATTCTAGTGCCAGAAAAAAAACCTCAAACTGTGGGTGCGTTCTAATATTTACCGCTAGTGCTCTAGCAATGAATTTTGGAACGCAGCCTATATAATAATTTATCACGTGTCGTCATATTTATATATTAAAATATAAATAAATAAACTTATGCTACAGTATAATTATGCTATTTAAATATGTTATTCATAATATATTTTATATAGTTTAAAGATTTTGTTTTCATAAAATTTATATAAATAAATTCTTTAAACTTTTTTTTAATTTATTATTTTCAAAATTTATAATTTTTAAAAATATTGTTTTTATAGTGTATTAAATTATATTTTTAATTTTATTTTCAAATTATTTTGTTTTTTTTAAATAAAAAAAATTGTTTTGTTTTATTTTTTTTTGTTACGTGAATATTTTCAAATCTACTATCAACGTGTAAACATAATAATTTTAATAGTTTTTTCAGCTAAAGTAAAAAATTTAAGATATAATATTTTTAAACATTATATATATTTTTATTTATTGTACAAGTTTTTTATTTTAATTAAACAAAATTTTTATAATTATATATATATATTATGTTTATATTTTAATTTTATTTATTACTTTGTATATATGTATAACTTTTAGGCCCGTATGCATAGTCCGATCTTATGTTTAGGCCGGATCTACAATAGGTGTAGTAAGCTCTAAAGGTGCCTTTTCATACGCAGCATGCTGCAGCAGCAAATCAGTCACGTGATCAAAATTTATTAGAACATATTTCTTTGTTCTCTTATTATTTCGAGGTTAAAATTACGATTTTTGCTTTTATATTCTCATAATAAAGCGGGGAGCACACACTTTTACATAAGCATAAGCATATGCATAAGAAATTCGATTGGTTGAATTTCTTATGCATAAGTTTATAGACCAATCAAGATTCTTATGCTTACACTTATGCGCCTATACAAAAGTGTGTACTCCCCGCTTTATGCTTATGCTTATGCGCTTATGCAAATATGTGTGCTCCCCGCTTAAGGATGCAGTCCCATGCACAGCAAAAAATCGGAAACGACAAAAAGGGAATTATAAAAACGGAATGGACACTTGTAGCATTCATCATCCACACCTTTCATTTACACTCTACACTTTTATTACACCTTACACTTTTCACTGCACTTTTACACTTTTTTACATCTTTATACATTTGTAATAACTTCAATTCATTAATATACATAATGTTTTTAAGAAAAATCAATATTTCCATAACAACACATTCATTCATTTATTTGTTACATATTAATTCTTTTTGTTCTTTCGCTTTATACTTTCAATGAATAAACATTACTTTTTTCAAAGATCTGGTGAATTTATTTATAAGTCGCTACATTTTTGGTGACCCCGACGTGATATTAAAGCCGACGTGATATTAAAGCCGACGCATTTTAAAGGCTGATGCGGAATAAGTGCCAAGTGATCGTCGTATTTGAAGTCTGCGAAATATTATCATCGCTTGGAAGAATTGCTGGATATTCTGATTTTAAGAGATTCATTCTCCGGATCTTTGAAACATCAGAGGCGGATTAGTCCTTCACGGAAATTCTCAAATCATTTTATCGGATTCCTGGAACAAGAGGAAAATGCCAATCGATAGATCACCAGTTAGACCCTGTTCGGATACACAGATTGATATGGATTTGGCGAGCGGATCAAATCAGGTTGGATCAGAAAATATTAATATTTTACCTTCTCAAACTGGACATCAGGTGAGTGATCCTATGTTACAAATTCACTCAAATGAGTTTCGTTTATTAAAACTACCGACTTTCTGGCATAAACAACCTAAACTCTGGTTTGCTTCTATTGAAAGTGAGTTTACGGTTTATCGAATTCGATCAGATGATATTAAATATAGTTCTGTCATTCGTCATCTTGATGAACAAGCCTTAGTAAACATATCTGAAGTCATTGAAAATCCACCTAAAACAGATAAATATAATTATTTAAAGAAAATATTAATAAATCGCTTTACGGATTCAGAGGAAAAACGTTTGAGACAAATATTAGCTGGAATTGAACTTAATGATAAAAAGCCTTCGGAATTACTTCGAGAAATTCGTCATTTGTCTGGAGGATCTTTAGCAGATAGTGTTTTGCAAATGATTTGGCTTCAACGCTTACCACATAGAATTCAAACGACTTTAGCCGTAGTAGAGGATGTTCCTCTTGTTAAACTTGCGGAATTAGCCGATAAAATTGCTGATCGGGACGGCGGTTTGCAAGTCGCGGAAGTTTCCAATAATACAAGTAATAAATCTTCGGATTTCGCGGATTTGCTACGAAGAATCGAAGCTCTTGAAGTTTCTCGTCGTCGAGATCGTTCCAAAAGCCGGTCTAGAGAGAATAGAAGATTTAGATCGTTATCGCGTAAGAAAGACAAATCAAATAAAGATATTAAAGATACATCAATTTGTTTTTACCATAAGAAGTTTGGTGATAAGGCTAAACGATGTACTTTACCTTGTTCTATGTCCAAAACATTCTTGGCTTCACAGGAAAACTAAAAACGCCGCTTAAGACTGAGGCTGCTTACGACGGTGTTTCTAACAATCGCCTCATTATTTTCGACAGACATTCAAATTTGAATTTTCTTGTCGATACGGGCGCTGATATATCGTTGTTACCTAAAAAGGTTTTATTGAAGCCGTGGCATACTAATTTAAAACTTTTTGCCGCAAATGGTACTCAAATTAATACTTACGGTTCTAAAACTTTAATTTTGAACCTCGGTTTAAGGAGAGAATTCAAATGGAAATTTTGTGTCGCGGATATTCAACGTCCTATTTTAGGCGCCGATTTCCTTTGTCATTTTAATCTCCTAATTGACATTAAAAACAAGAAATTGATTGATAATGTTACCGGTCTTATGAATACTGGAAAAATTCAAGAAGTTGCACATTTGTCAATTTTTACCACATCTCCTGATTCTGTGTACCACAAATTTTTAACCGAATTTCCAGGACTCACCCGTTTTTCTCCAATTTCCTCGGTAAAAACACATGGTGTTGAACATCATATCGTTACGGAAGGTTCTCCTAAATTTTCGACTCCCAGAAGACTTACTCCTGAGAAACTTAAATGTGCCAAGGAAGAATTCAAGTCTATGATGGAGCAAGGAATTTGCAGGCCTTCAAGCAGCTCCTGGGCAGCCCCTCTACATATGGTACCTAAAAAGGAACAAAATTCTTGGAGACTGTGTGGTGATTATCGTGCACTCAATTCAGTGACTATCCCGGATCGTTATCCCTTACCTCATATTCAAGATTTTTCTTCTTCACTTTTTGGTAAGAATATCTTTTCTAAAATCGACTTAGTTAAAGCGTACTATCAAGTACCCGTCGCTAAAGAAGATATTCACAAAACAGCTGTCACTACTCCATTTGGGCTTTTTGAATTTGTCGTAATGCCTTTCGGTTTACGAAACGCAGCCCAAACTTTTCAACGGCTCATGAACTCTTTACTTAATGATTTGAGTTTTGCCTTTTGTTATCTTGATGACATTCTTATTGCTTCTAAAGATGAGAAAGAACATATTGCTCACTTACGCATTATTTTTGATCGTCTTCAACAAGCTGGAATGACAATCAATGTCGCTAAATGTCTTTTCGGTCAAAGCGAGATTTCTTTTCTTGGTTACTTAGTTTCTAACCAAGGAGTTAAACCTACATCCGAAAAAGTGAAATCAATTATTGATTATCCTAAACCTAAGACACTTCATGAATTACGCAGATTCTTAGGAATTATCAATTATTATCGTCGCTGTCTCAAGGATGCTGCAAATCATCAAGCTCTGTTAACAGAATATTTAAAGGACAGTCGCAAGAGGGATAGAAGAATTATTTCTTGGACTAAAGAAGCGGAATTAGCTTTCGAGTCATGTAAAGAAGAACTTTTACAAGTTACTACCCTTTCTCATCCTGCTCCTCATGCTCCTCTTATTTTAACTTGTGATGCTTCTGACTTTGCTGTTGGTGCATCACTTGAACAGTCTATTGACGACGATATCAAACCAATAGCATTTTTCTCAAAGAAACTAGACAAAGCTCAAAGAAATTATAGCACTTATGATAGAGAACTTCTTAGCATTTATTTGGCTATTAAACATTTCAGGCATTTTGTTGAAGGAAGACAACTGATTATCAGAACTGATCATAAACCTTTGATTTTTGCTTTCCGTCAGAAATTGGATAAAGCGTCACCAAGACAGATCAGACAATTGGACTTTATTGCTCAATTCTCTACAAATATTACCTATATTTCTGGAAAAATGAATTCAGTTGCTGATGCTCTGTCAAGAATTGAATCTATTTCAATGCCTATTATAGTTTCTTTAGAAGAACTTGCTAATTATCAGAAAGAAGATGAAGAACTTCAAGTTTTACTTTCTTCAAATTCTTCACTTCTGTTGAAGAAACTTATTCTTTCAGGATCAACCATACCTATTTATTGTGATTGCTCTTCGGAATTAATTCGTCCATATGTTCCTAAACTCTTACGCAAGAGAATTTTTGATGTTGTTCATGGACTCGCTCACCCCAGCGGCAGATTGACATCTAAACAATTACTACTGAAATTCATTTGGCCTTCTTTGAAGAAAGATGTGAAGGAATGGACTCGAACTTGTCTTCCATGTCAACGTGCGAAGATTTCAAGACACACCAAGAATTCTCCAATTAAGATTGCAATTCCTGATCAACGCTTTCAGCATGTGCATTTAGACATTGTTGGACCACTTCCTATTTGTCAAAATTACCGTTATTGTCTTACTATGATTGATCGTTTTTCCAGATGGCCTGAAGCTGTTCCTATTTCTGAGATTTCTGCTGAAACTATTTCTACAACATTTTATTCACATTGGGTAGCACGTTTTGGTTCTCCTATCAGCATTACAACAGATCAAGGTCCTCAGTTTGAAGCAGCTTTATTCAAAGCTTTAACAAACCTAATTGGATGCCAAAGGATTAGAACTTCTGCTTATCATCCTGCTTCAAATGGAATTCTGGAAAGATGGCATAGGACTTTGAAAGCAGCGATTATGTGCCACGAAACAACCAACTGGGTAGAATCTTTACCTTCAGTTCTTTTGGGATTACGTTCGTGTTTCAAAGAAGATTTAAAAGCTTCACCTGCAGAACTTCTTTATGGATCCACTCTTCGTATTCCTGGAGAATTTTTCATTGAAGAAGATTTTCCTGCAGATCCTGAAATCTTTCTTGAAAAACACAGGATTCATATGAGGAATATCAGATCATCTCCTACAAGTCATCATTGCAAAAGATCACCTTTTGTTCACAAGAATCTTTTTGATTGTACTCATGTTTGGATTCGAGAAGATACTGTTAGGAAGTCACTACAACCTCCTTATTCTGGCCCTTTTCCTATTGAGAAACGTATCTCTGATCATTTATTTGCAGTTAATGTTTCAGGAAGAGTTGTCAATATTTCGACAGAACGTCTCAAGCCAGCCTTCATTCCTAGAACTTCAGATTCTACTGAACTTTCTACCAGATCTTCAGCTCCTGTTCCTGCTATTTCAACTCCTGTTCCTGCTATTTCAACTCCTGTTCCTGCTACTTCAGCTCCTGTTCCTGCTACTTCAGCTCCTGTTTCTGCTACTTCAAATCCTTCTTCTTCTTCTACTGTTGGAAAAGCTTTACGCACCTACCCACCAAAGAAGAAGAAAGTCCATTTCGCAACGAATATCGTCACTTGGGGGGGAGTACTGTAGCATTCATCATCCACACCTTTCATTTACACTCTACACTTTTATTACACCTTACACTTTTCACTGCACTTTTACACTTTTTTACATCTTTATACATTTGTAATAACTTCAATTCATTAATATACATAATGTTTTTAAGAAAAATCAATATTTCCATAACAACACATTCATTCATTTATTTGTTACATATTAATTCTTTTTGTTCTTTCGCTTTATACTTTCAATGAATAAACATTACTTTTTCAAAGATCTGGTGAATTTATTTATAAGTCGCTACACACTCATGCGTAGTGTGCAGTAAATGTAAATCTTGTATTTACGTACTCTACGTTATGATTGTAAATAACCTTTGTTTAGCAAGTTCTTCTTTTCTTTTTAGTATAAGATAAAGGTAGTACATCTTGTTAATTTGCTCATAATTCTTTTTAGATTGCCAAGATATGTTTGTAGCATTTGTTGTAACTGTCTGCATTTTTGCACTATTAACCCAAGGAAGGTCAAAATGATGTCAATTTGATGTCATATTGATGACTAAATATTGACCAAAAAATGACATAAATGTAGTCAATATGACGTCAAATTGACATTATTTTGACTTTTCTGTTCTCCTTGGGTAATATCAAATAAATTTCAGATTTCATCATATGGAATTACGTACTCAAACAATGCGATTATAATACGTACATTATTGACACATTATTATTGCAGAATATTTATAAAGTAAATAAAAATTTTTAATAAATTTAAATTTAAAAAAATGCGTATCTTTTTCGTTTCTATTTTCGGTGTCTGGCATCCCATGGAGCAGATTTTTCAACAGGAAATGGTATCCTAACCTCTTTCTTCAACCAAGAACCAACTTTTATTCATAAAATACGAAAATAGTATACTTTGTAGTTGTTAATTACACAAATGTTTAATATGTTTTTATTTATATAATTTTATTTTTTACCTTAAAATACCATTTCCGATTTTAACAATTTCCGATTTTTTTTCATTATTTCTATTTTTAGCGTGCATGAGACGCCAGGAATTCAAAAAGAAACGGAATGAGCAGACGACATGCTGTGCAGCTGCGCACCCAGTGAACCAAGTAATATAGCAGCAATGTAATGGCAATGTAACCAAATATAACAGGTTATATTACCAAAATGTTACATGTAATTTACATGTAAGTTACTTTTTCCGACTCAGCAATATAACATGTTATATAACGTGTTATCTAACCATTACATAACAATTAATGTAACTGTAATATAACAAATATGATAGCTGTTATATTAATGCAATATAATAGTAGCTATATTTGTAATGTTACAGTTATATTGAGGTAATGAGCCTGTTACGAAAGTTGAATAAAAATAGATGGATTCAAAATTCTTATTTATTCATAAAATGTTTGTATTACACCAAACAAAATAATTATGTGTATCAAATTAAAATGTAACAAACTTAAAACATTAGAAATATATCTTTTATATTAGGAACACATATATATCTTATATATCTTATCAATCTATTTAATATATGTCTTTTACATTTTCTGCAAATTGTCTATCGACTAGATGCTAATAGATACTAAAATCGACTAGATACCGAGTGATGATGGCTGTGATAAAATAATACGTGGGTTCTTGCAATGTCGCTATCACAGTTTTACATATATATAATTAATACATCCCACCTCATCTTTATTACGCTACATTATATGTATGTTTCTATATTATTATTATTTGTATATAGTGTCACGCATCATTCGTTAAAGATGGCAATTGCAGACTTTTTTATTCCGTTGTATAGTGAATTTCTTTATATAATAACCTAGATATACTATATATAATAATAAACGTTCATATGAATAAAAAAAAGAAAAATATGAAAAAGAGTTTTTGACAAAAGACACAAAGGCATTTTTTCACGGTATATGACAGTAGCAAGTGTCTTTATATTATCTTTAACCTTGTTAAGAGTTTGCTTCATTCTCTCTTGTCTCATCCGTTGTCTTTCTTCTTTCTGCTCTTTTCTTCTCTTTTTCTATTGTTCGATTTCGTCGTTGTTTAGCAAACCGGAACCATTCTGCGACGATCTCTTCGAATTCAATTTCTTTTGTTGCCGGATATGTATGTAAAATAGCATCTGTGAACAAATTAATATAATTAATGATGTAAAAATGTAAAGACAATGTGAAACAAAAACTAGATAATAAATTAAAGTAAATTTAGATTTATTAGGGTTGATGGGGTTAACTTCTAACAGTAGAGTTTTTATGATAAACAATTGAATAAAGTGAAAAGTAATCAATTATTTTGCATTTTGTTTCATTCTATTTTATTTACGTTTAGATAATAAGATTAGCATAAATTAGCATAAATTTTTGGGTTTTTTATAAAAACCGATCATATTTGCAAGTCTAAATACCATACAGCTCTTATATTTTGCTCTTATACCGAGTAAAAAATGTTAAAAATTAGATTTAAAATATAACTTTTGTGAAGGTATATTTATACACTTTCTGTAACAAAAATTTGAAGAAATTCAACAACAATTTGACATTTTTGGCAAAAATTAAAATTCTTCACAATATTACCACGGAACGAATAATTGCTATAAAATATGTAATCTTTTCAAATAGTATTGCAAGAAATCATGAAGACAATTATATATAAAAAAGTTATTTTTTCGATTCGATATCGACAACGATGATTGAGAACACTTATTCCTAACTATTATATATAATTATTATATACATTATTGAATTGTCTGTTTGCAGCAAGAACATTATTCAATGTTTCTGCCAAAAAACGGACAATAAAAAAAGGTAACTGTATTCTCAAACAACGTAAAAATGGTATTTTTTGGTACTAAAATTTCGGATATTATATTACCTTGCATTATTTTTATAATATATAGATCTTCAATGCAAAAGTTTCCCTTCCGTCCTTTCCATGAACATAACTCTGCACAGGAATTTGTGAAGATCTTTGTGCAAATTCTTTGGGTGTCCTCACGCGCTATATGACCTCCAATTTTCTGTACAAATGTATTCTGCAATAGAAATATTACTATATTTGCAACAAATTGAATAAAATTTGACCTTTTTTTGTGATAAATAATTAACTTACAAATTGTTGTTTTATTTCCGGATTTTCATGGATTTTTTTCTCAAAGACTTCAATCTCCGCGATCGATTTTAATGGCAGAAGAGACGCTATGAGGCCAACATTTCCTGAAAACATAGGTTTTCCGTGTTCGACTTTCTGGTGAAGCTCCCGTAGTTGTACTTGAATCGATGCGAGCATCCGAATAATTATTCTTGAATATTCTACATCAGAATAAATGACAGACAATATTTAGTATCGAAAGTAATCAGATGTTCTTTGTAAATGTCCAATAAGTCCAGTCAGTTTCACCTTCCTGATTACGATCCACCACTTCCATGCCATCAAAGGCTTTTCTAGTAAGCGTTGAAACTTCAGAAAAATTTTCTTTTTTGCGAGTTTCTGACATCGCAACCGGACTCGGAATCGTCATGTATGGGTCATCCACGTTTTCTGCTTCCTCGTCTATGTCACGTTGGTCTTCGTCTATAGCACAACACAAGATATCATTAGGGTCTGATCAGAACGGCTGATTTATAATTTCAAGACCGTATTTTATATTTTAAGTCTTTGGCCCGTATTCATAGTCCGTTCTTATATTTAAGATGATCTTAAGACCTCGTTCAACCAATCAAGAAATGCTATGCGGCCATTTGATTGGTTGAACGAGGTCTTAAGACGATCTTATAAATATAAGAACCGACTATGAATACGGGCCTTTGTCTTTAGTAACGTACAATACTGTCTTTTATCTCAAATCTAAATCGTACGAAGTGTTAATAAAAGTAATAATTTTATTGTATGCATACAGTATTCTAGATTTTTCTTGCGCGTTACTAAAGACAAAAACTCTCAGAACATAAAACATTGTCTTAAAATTATAAGTCAACTATTCAGACTCTTACTTATGATATGTGACTTTGTGAGCTTTTTTGATCCTCTTGCCTCTACGACGTCGTGTGAATTTTGAAAATTTGCAGATTTTGATATCTCGCCAAAGCTGTTTGGAATCGGTGGCAGGTCTGATAATATGTTTCGACCTGAAAATTCAAAGTTAATTTTCGATTGATGTTTTGTTGTCAGTTGTATATACAATATCCGTTGATGTGTAGTAAAAAAGCCTGTTTACAGACATGATGTAAATCTATTATTGAGATTTCCGCACAAGGATTTTTAAACAGCTTTATCTTAATAGCTCAAGATGGAATGCACAAGAGATATGAGGATTTGAAATTCATAGGGATTTTAAGTTTAATCTAATAACTGTAAGTATAAAGTACAAATTACGAAATAGATTTAAACAGGAAAAAATATACTATATAGATTCTCCTAATGGTATTAAAAAATAAATGACGAAGCATCACAATCTTTAAAAAATTTGTTAAATCAGATTATAAAATAGCTACAATAACTTACGCAGGTCTCGTGGCTTTTTTATCCACTTCGAAGTTTTAGATTGATTTTTATTTTCGACATCATCGGATGAGGAGCTCGATATTCGTCTATTTGGTATGACTCTTCTGTACCCTTTTCCGAGTTGGTCATCATCAGTAGTTATATAATTTGCATCCTCCGCGACCTTTCGAGCCTTTTCAAGAGACGCTGAAATAAAATATTTATTTTAAATAGAAACTAAAAATGTCACAGTTGTTCCTTTATTCTATAATAAAGAAATATGCTTACTGCAATATTTTTCGATGGTCACAGGCAAATTATCCCACGACTTTTTATCTGGTTCAGATTTTTTTGCTATTAGCGTACTAATGTTTTTATAATTTGTTGGCCACCAACATGATGGTTCATCGTCATTTGTTTCAAGCCAATTGGATGGTACTTCGGAAACTTCATTGTTATTGAATGTTACGACTGCATATGCCATGTCTATCCAATCGTAAGTGAAAATGAAGTAATTTCAAATAGAACAAGAGGAAATGAGATTGCAGGAAAGGATTTAAAAAATACGAGGAACAATCTTTTTTATTCGATTGAATTTTAGATAATTAATAATTATATTGCAATACAGGAATCACTATACTTGAAGTGGTTTCCTCAGGATTTTGCAATTTTAAACACTTTCTTTGTATTTGTGATGCTAATAACGTAATCCGTTCAGATATAAATCTTTCGTTAACCAGAGAGATGCCAAATTTTTGAGAATCGCACGGTACTGAAAAAAACGACCTCGTGTTGCTATAATGATTTCCTTTTATGTAAAGAACATTATTGTTGCTAAAAATTTTTGTTACGATAAAAATCGAATCATCATTCAATTGACAACAGTTCTCATAATCCTCTGTTGAGATGAAAAATCCATCGAATTCGAGAAATTTGATCTTTATTGCAGACTTCGAATAGTGTACAACTGGATACGATTTGCGGTATTGAGTTTGAATAGGTACAGCATTTTCTTCTGTTATACGATTAACAATTTGATGTAAAGGTTTTTGCGAATTCTTAACCTGTTTCTTTATTGCCTGCAAACAGTTTTCGAATTTAAACGCACTGAATTGATCTAAGCAGCCAAATCGGGTTACATCAGAAGCAAGGTGCACGAGATTATGTACATTATGCGTAATGTGTTCCGAACCATACAATTCTCCATAATGCGAAACAAACCAACATAATAAAGATTGAGCATAATCATTCATAACTAAACACAATTTACGATCAGCTAAAATACGGATTGCTAAGCTGAATGAAAGGAAATGATTATACAAATCTTTCCGTAAAACTAATTTCAAAACCACAGGACCAGTGTAAAGAAGAAACTGACGAAACTCAGTGGCCTTCCATCTATCGATATCGTTAAAACTTCTCGGTTTTCTGCTAAATTCTTTAGTTATGAAGCATTTCATTGACTCTATATTTTCTGACGCAGCCTGCAGTTGTTCGTTCGTAAGTCGAACATTTTTAGGACCTTTAACCCAGAATTGAAGAAGACGTTTGGTAACTCCTAAGCATACAAGATGCATATAGTCTAAAACAACTTGAGAAATCATACCTATATTTAAATTTAATAAATCTGTGTAACCCACATGATGTTCAGGCTGTTGTTGATGTTGAAAAGAATAATCAGTTCTTAATTCGCTATTTATTTCAGGGAAAGTAATGCGATGGCCCAATGCATCTCCTTCTTGAATACATTTAGAACATCCAAAGTATCCATTGTGACCTTTCGTATAAGTAAGAAACGACTTTGCAGGTGCATCGCAAACAAGTGCCTTGACACTTACACAACACTTATGATCATCAACATCAAGGCCGTTTCTAAGAATTTCAGTCATGTCAATGATAAATTCTTTCAGATAAATATTAGCATCAGCAGGTTTCTTGTTACCATAATATATGCCAACAACGATAGGCTGAGTGTAGAAATCAGTTTCGATTGATATTAAAATTGGCCAAAATTGAGCTCGCGAACTTTTGAACAAAGGTAAACCGTCACAATTTATATTTATTTCTATCTTATAGGGGATAACTTGAAAGTACTTTGCAATCGAACGTTTCAGTCCATCTGTTACTCCGAAATGCACGTAATAGCCATCATTCATTGGTTGAATTTTATACGACGTATTTCGAGGTGTTTTCATAAGAGTTCGAACATCTATTGGTAAATCAGAATGACCATGCAAAGAAAGAATTTTTAATAATGCATTCACGCTTCTGTGTGACACGTTATTTTGTACAGTCCAACAGCGCAATTTATCTGATAAACTTATATTGATAGTACTTGGAATGTCACAATTAGTTTCAACGAAGGATTCATTACTGGAGTCATTTGACAAATATTCCGCTATATGTGTTGTCCCAATATCAACAACATCACCCGTGTGAATAAAGACATTGCTTTGAGTTAGAGGAATATCAAAATCCATGGAAGAAGCTGATAACTGGTCGTTGTGTATCTTATTGGCAATTGAATAATTGAGTAGACTGACATGATCGATATGGCAACTATGAGATAAAGGTGTTATATGAGAAGTAGATGGCTGATTATGATCTGTCAAGTACTGTGCAATTTGTGCATTGAGTAATTGGTTTTTTCTACGTTTAGATAATGAGGCAATATCTTTTGGCATTTTTGAAAAAACGATCCATTAAAAAAATTTCATTTAAACTTATGATGGATAAAAAGGTAGTACAAAGGTGTATAATATTGAAGATACTGAGTGCAATTACAGTTGAAAAATCTGTAAGATAAAGAGAAATAAGAAATAAAAAATGATAATATAATTTTAAATATCAATAGTTTTCTTAATAATTTGCTTTTACACTGCTATTATGACAATAATAGAAAGTGTTTATTGATATTAATTATTAGTAACTAAAAAGAAATTGTAAGTATTTGTAATTGTATACTCAACAATGCACTATTCAGAATATGGCAATATGTATTACAGTAGCATGTAATAGATAAAATTAATTCAAAAACAAAAATAGAAACCCAAATGCCCAAGCATAATTATCGTTTCACTGTCTATAATGATTTATGCAAATGTGGCTAAACTTTTAATTTTGGCTATTTAAAAGCTACAAAATACAAGATTAGGTAATAATGCAGAGTGATAGTTAAACTTGAGCAAGGCTAATCTATTTAAGAATGTGGAACTAAAAACAAAATAGTTTTTATGCCTCCTTACTTAATTATCACACACGTACCTGATTAATAATGCAAGCTTTTATAAATTGTGCTTATATATATATATATATATATATATATATATATATATATATTGTGAATTATTTTTTATTATATATTATTGTATATATCTCATCAACGCCTTCTACTTTCTGATAGTGTGAAATCATCTATAAAAAAATTTGTTTCTTCCAGAAGTGTGAAGAATCTGTGAAAAAGTTACCAAGATTAAATTTATTTGCTGAGTTTAACTATATACGATTTAAGTTAGAAAATTATTGAGAATAAACATATACTAAGAAATAAAGAGTATGCATTTTTAATTTGACTCGAATTATTGTATAAATGTGGTCGAATAGAGGTTATGAGGTTATAACTACCAAAAGCGATTGAGTAATTTTATATAAGAGGCAAATTCTCCGAGATTCTTATAAAATAATATTTTATTAGCACTTACATCCTTCAGCACCTTTATATACATATACCTTTGTACTTTAAGATGTCCTACACGTTGCCGAAAGAACAAAAAATTACTCTCTCACTTGTTACACACACACGTTACACGTCTGCCGTTCCTAGCCCTCTATACTGCGCAAAGAGAGAACGTCCCTCGGTCTACGCATAGGCGGCAAAATGGGGAGAGCGTGGCGCGTATTATTCAATGCTGTATACGTAAATATATACATGCTTGGGTAAGCTTGAATCCGGATTATTTCAGCTTAAAAAAGTGAAATAATTGAAATAATTAAAATTATAGGAATAATTAAACTAATTTCTTATTTGAAATAAATTAATATAATTATAACAATAATTTGATGTTTCGGAGGCTTATTGGTGCTATTTGTTGCTACAGCATTGACAAGCTATATATATATATATATATATAGGCACTTTAATATATTCACAACTCACAACACGGCACTCGCGGCGCGACATAATTATATCATACGCAATGATTATATATATATATATATCCACCGATAAAAAAACGTTAATAGTAAAAATTAACAGATGTTGCATTACTGTTATGTTATTCCGCTACACTCTATTAATATTATCAGAATATAACTAAAGTTATAATAACATTGATACAAGCATATTACGTAACAATTACACAATTTTGTTACATAACTGTAGTACCAAAATGATATATAACAGTTATATTACCTGAAGATAACAAATGTTACATTACATGTAACTCGCATGTTATATTGCCGTTATAAAACGTGTTTACTGGGCATGCTCCATTCTCATATTTTATGGTTCCTTTTTTGTCTTTTCGATATTCACTATGCATGAGACTGCATCCTAATCTATTTTATTCTTAAAATCTATTGTTTAACTAATATAAGAATAACAATAATTAAAATCAACTAGTTGTGTGTTCTTCTGCTTTGCTGTCTTTGCTGTTCGTTCAATTGAACTTCAATAGCAACAAACTGCTGCGGCAGTATACTACACATGAAATGATATCTTAACGGTTATACCACCATGGTTATATATAGTGCGGTCCGATTTGCACTACAAGTACTACGGAGCGTTTGCAGCAACGCTACGGTTGGTTCACTTAGCGCTATAAAATGCTACAGTAAATCTTATAACGTCATCATATTTGCTACCAAGACACTTCAAATGCCTGTCCTTACAAGATAGGTTAGCTGTAGCGTTGTAGAAATCTGGCATCCATGAACAATTGTAGTATAATACATACTAAGAAGAATTATCAATGCAAAAGGCTTCCGGATGGATGCCGCGTGGTTTAACAGTATAATGCCGACGTTTTGCAAACGTTGCAGTTTGCATCTTCAGGGCCGAGAGCTCCGAAAAGTCTCAAAACTAGAACTAAGAAGAATTGTAATACTATTGAGAAATTTAAAATAAAATTACAATTGCTTGATGAAAAAACTGGTAACATATTTACGTTACATGTGACAGAAGAATATATGCTCGTGATATAGTAACTGTAGCATCTATAGCGTTCATGGACCGTATGTTTAATGATACTTATTGGAGCGTAGAGGTCAGAGCATTTGGTAGCGCATACCGGACCGCACTAATAGTTAAAAAAGAAAAATCTAACTACATCATGTCGCTAGCGATTACCAAGATCCGTAGATGAACGACGGGAGGGGAAGGAAGGTCGTCGCATGAGCCGCCATTTTGGGACCACGAAGTTATGTGTGTTGTATGTCGGTGTGTGTCGTACAAAGTGTTAGTGAAAAAACTATAGTTGAATAGCTGTCCGGTGGCTGAATTGGCGGCGCCATTTTGGGGCTCATGCTGAAACAATGATGCAACGACCTTACTTCTCTTCCCGTCTACGGACCTTGGCGATTACATGACGTTATTATATCGCCAAAAACGAGTGATGAGCGATACATGAAAAAGTACTTTTATTAGAGGGTTTTTACTCTTTAAAAAGTCAGTATTGCTATCTTCTGTCCCTTTTTAAATTAAATAACTTATAGTTTGTTTGAAATTTGAAACATTTTGTTGTACAATAAAAACAAAAATAAAAGTTTTTGAGTAGTGACGGATTAACCTAATATGCGGTCCTAGGCAAATTTTGGTGGGGAGTTGCCTATGTAAGGCAAGGATTTTTTGAAAATTAATTAAACATATAAGCACTAAAAAGGAATTGTAATTAATATAATACAAAATATTTTATTTTGGTTATAAATAAAATTTTCTTCACTGGTTGGTGGGGGCCTTTTTGTGGTAGGGATCCATAGGCAGTGTCTAGTTTGCCTATTGTTAATCCAACCCTGTTTTTGGGGGTGATTGATAAAAATTAGACACGTATATATATTTCATAAATAATGAAGTGTAATTATAAATAAACATTTAAGCTATATTTATTCTTTCATTTTTAATGTACGCTTATAGATTTAAAATATTAACATTTTACTTTGAATATTTTAAATTTTATAATATTTACATTTTGTAATTTGGCGCTTCATCCAACTAAGGATATGACGGGAGTCACGTGACTCGCCACTCTACGATATCAAAAAGTGTCGACGCGCTTCGGTATCGTCGCAATTACTTCAATTGTAGTCTGTGGTGGAGCGTCAGTATGAAAAGGTACCTTTAGTCAAGCAATCGAAAACTACTTCCGGCATCCGGCAAACGCCCTAGTGTATATCTATTGCTATCGTTGAATTAAAATTTTTTACTTCGAGCGAATTTTGCTCAGTGTCACGTTGTTTTTATCGATTTTATGGGCAAAGGACGATCGTAACAGTGGCGAATCGTGTTGGAAATTTTTACGTTCACGGTGAGTCAGTTTCTTTAGACGATGAAATCACCTAACCGTTCGGAGCACGGAATGTTAGAAATTCTCGTTTTCTGACGGCTTTCTGTCAATTCTTGAGGAAAAATTAAGCGCGGCTAAAAACGCCGAATAATATATATAATTAAAAACTGCATTCGAGTTTCTTTCACTTTATTTCACATATAATATTGTCGATCAGTAAATACTTTATAACGAACAAAGTTTTTGGTTATCTGCCATATTTTGGCTAGAATCACCTCGTTAGACCTCGTATGAATCATGCATTCCATCTGCCGTTTAATACCGGCATCTATGTCTATACTGGGTGAGCCGCGATGACATGGTTACCTTATCATTATAATTAGTCTGTTAATAGTAGGTCGATCAAATTTTTTTGTGTCGCATATAATTCAAAGAGGTCCTTACATTTATGTTAATTTACAACCAAAATTATTTTTACATTTTAGTTTACAGCAAAAAATTATTTTAAACTAGACAATATTTTTTTATAGATTTTGGAGTGCTGAAAACGATGCTACAAACTAAAATTTACTAGCACATCAGATTTCTAAAATAATGGTGTTTTTTACGATATTTAATATTCCAAGTAACAAATGTATGTCATTTTCCAGTTTAATGACGTCATAGACGTCAAAATGACGTTATTTTGACGTTTAATGACATTAGTTTGCTACTTAGAATTTTTTATTCACAAAAAAAAGTTAACATTATCTGCAACATTTGATCAAATATAATTTGATTTATATATAAATACAGAATTATACTGAGATAGCAAACATTTCCCTTATGATAATAAAAGTCCTGTATTATACTCGTAATTTGTAGTTTAAGGCTATTGATACACATATACACTATAACTTATTGTGATAGATTCCATTAAATATATATTTATATATATATATATATATATATATATATATATATATACTATATTTATATACAGAGTCCCATTCTTCGTAACTTTGCATGGAGTGGTCATAGAGAAAAATGTTTCAGACAAAAGTTGTAGAGATCATCTGATAGTGACCTTGATCTTAACCATGGAGTCAAATTTGAAGGTCAACATAAAAATTTTGAATTATAATTTCTATTTCTCATTACATATTCTTGTAGCTTTTCTCAAGAGGCTTTCCAAAACACTATAATAAAGTAATTTCCGAGTTACAAGACTTGAATTTTAATTTCATTTATAGAATATCTTATATATTTTAATTGCCAATTTCTTGAATTTTTCGAAACAAATGCATTTATTCCGAATGATTTAAAGGGGGACAAATAGTGGTAAAATTAATTTTGGAAAAAATAATTTTTTCCAAAAAAATCTTCCTCAAGAGCATCTCCATATGAGAAGTAGTTTCTAATTCCCAGCTTTAATCTTTCATTACATAGCTAAAAAGTAAGATATTGAAATTTAAAAAATGCATTTTATAAGGAATGAACAATATATTCATAACATCTGATCAGAATTTCCAGATAACATTAACTTTTTTCACAAAAAATAATCTCAAATATCGCAAAAAAGCGATATTTTGCATATTAAATCTCAATTATTTCAGTAAAATCTATAAAAAACACCATCTCTGGTTATGAACAATATATTCATAACATCTGATCAGAATTTCCAGATAACATTAACTTTTTTCACAAAAATAATCTCAAATATCGCAAAAAGCGATATTTTGCATATTAAATCTCAATTATTTCAGTAAAATCTATAAAAAACACCATCTCTGGTTAAAATAATGGAAAAAAAATGTTTTTTTTTAAACTAATTGTTATAATGTAACTATTTATTAGTTTTTTTAATTTTCAATAAGGTCATCTTTAATTTTTTTATAGGTAAATTATAATTTTCTTACCTTATTATTATTTATTCTGTTAGTGGATTAATCAACATTTTTTTAGTCGCATAATATGGTTCAAAGAGACTTAAGATGAGATATAGGTAGTATATTTTTTATCAATGTTTTTAACTTTTAAGGTTACCTTCAATTTTTTGTATAGCTAAACCCATAATATTTTACGTTCATCTTTTAGTAGATATTGAAGCAAGTATTATAAAATATTTTAAAATTAAATAGTTTACGAGAAATTTTACTTTTTAATTTTACATAATTTGACATGAACTGTAAAATATTTTTACGATTCTCGGCAATTCTTATTTTATTTTTTCCTGTTTTACCTTTTTATGTAAGTTACTTTTGGTTATTTTTAATTGCCCTTAAAAATCTTTTATAATATAACATTTAAAATAATATTTTATAAGAACGTGGTACATAAAATATAATAATTAACACATCACTGCATTTTTATAAACTGAAGTATTGATAAATAAAATCGAAAAATAAATTGCAAAAATGTCAATTTATTTGCAATCTATCAGTGAATAATTTTTCTGTTATCTACTTGCACAGCTTAATTCTTTGAATGTTGGATTGCATTATTGAGAAAAATCTAATCAATATCTTCAAAAATATTATCAGTATGAAGATATATCTTGAATCTCTCAAGTTCTCTTTAATACGTGTCATGTATTTTTATCTGCATGTAAAATTGGGAACAGCGCCAAATATACATATGTACATTAATACAACATTCTGCGATTCGAGAAAAATGCTATAACAATATATCTTTTATTCAAAATAATTTTTTTCGGATATGAATTTTGTAAAATTGTACGTACAATAGAAAAAATATTAAAGATAAATATTAAAATAAATTTGATAAAAGGCTGTTAAGAGCAGTAAATATAAAAATTCAAATTATGTTCGAAAGTGAAGTCATATATAAAAATAATATTCTTTAATCTAATGTCTAATAATGAATTACAATAAAAGGTGACAAAAATGAATTAAACATAAGTACTCTTTAAATACAAATACAAAGCGAACGTTTCGGTCAATATTTTGACTATTATCAACGCTGATTAAATTCTGAATTTAAAAACTAATAAACGGTGTCATAACGGTAATATATACATCAAGCATAGTCAAAAACGTCATAGAGTATGTAACGCATTAAAAATACAATGATAGATATAATGATTAACAAATATTATCGTAAGAGAAAAAGAGAACATGATGTAAAAATGAAAAGCGATATTCCTCCAACATAGTCATAATGTGATGGTTAAAATTCGTAAATTGTGTTTCTACTCCGGTTATTAGACCCGATAGACACATAATGATTTGAATCATATGATTAGATTGCAACGTAAAAACAGTAGTGTAGGAGGAACATCGATTCCTGAGATCCGCACACTTATAATGTCACAGACAAAGTCAAATATTAAAATATTAAATATTAAATATTAGCAATAGAATCTTTTTTGTAAGAATTATTTTATTTTAAATGTTCAAGCTTTAATTTAAACTTTGCTTTATCTCACAACAATATGGATTTTTACTGAGTTATCGCAATTCAAATATGTCAAAAAATTGTGCTAAAGTGTGTTTAGCGGATGAGTATTATTTATAAATAATTTGATTTAAATTATTTTATATTTTTACAAACTAACACTAAAAGAACTATTTCACTATCTGAAGAGAACATTTGTAAAAAAATGACTTAATTTTCAACGTCTAAAAGTATTTTATATCTTTTTGTAGAAACTTTTTCAATGAAAATTTTTTTAAATTTAAATATATAAATATTATACTTTAACATCATTATTAAATGCTTTGTAGAGATGTGCGAATTATTTGAATCAAATCGAATCGAATCTGGCAATATTCGATTCGATTCGAATTGACGTAGTTTGAAATCGAAAGATTCGATAACGTCGAATCATTGCAATTCGAATTCGAATCAAAGAACCGCGTAAGAAAACTTAAAATCCGTTTAATTCTATCGTTTAATTCTATACGCGTTGATTCGATTCGAATTCGAAATATGGATGATTCGATTTGATTCGAGTTGTTTTTTGCAAATTCGATTCGAATTAGAAAATCTTGATTTGCACATCTCTAGCTTTGGAATTAATGTTTTTCTTAAACTATTTTTAATTAGGAATATTTTATATTTTATGTTTTTTTATTGTGCGTTTACATATAATCTATTTCTATAATATTTAATATTTATTTCTATTCCTAATATGTCGCTTAGGTAGTATCTTAATTTTTTAGTGTAGATATTTTTATTTTTTAAAATAAAAATTGCTATATTCGGCATTTACAGCACTGAAAATTTGTTTTTTCGATAATGCTGCAAAAATGTTCAAATTCTTGTATCTATTTCGATATTTTAATTTAAATAATATGACGAGAATAATGTTAAATAATAATTGTTTTTACTTTTTGATCAAATTTTTTTCGATAAAAATTATGTTTTGAAAGATACTCGAGATTTTTTTAGTGATTAGAGAAATATAATAAAAGAAAAAATAATAAATATCAAAATTCATATTTTATATGGATTCATGAATTTATATTTCATGAGATAATTACTTGATTAGTTTTTGAGCGATTAATTATTTTCTACAATTTCTATAATTATTTTCTACAATTGTCTGCTTTTCAAGTTTTGTTTTAACCCTTATCTTACATCTTACAATAACGAATGTGAGACTGGCTGAATAGGAAAGTTCTCTATCATTTTGCAGTTTTTGCAATAATTAATGGAAAATTAATTAAAAGTGTACTATTTTATTTTGCTCATTAAGCTTTCTGTATGAGCAAACTAGTTTTTCAATTTTGTCTTCTAGATGAAGTTTAATGAGTGAAACACTTTTTCACATAAATTTATTTATTATCACGTATATGTATGTATCTATTTGTATATTTTTTTTTTTCGTAAAAGTCAAAAATTTATATTTCTTGAAAAATTTAAAATTTTATAAGAAAATAAATTTTTCACCAATCCTCGGGAAATCAACCATTCTTTAATGATATTCCAATTATATAACAAAATTTGGTCCAATATTTAAAAATTGACAGAAGTTAGAACAACACAGATATTTTCTTTAAAAAATTCGAAATTTTATA